ACCAGTCGTTCTTCGCAGAAAGCTTGCACATTCCTCGCCACATGAGGTCAGATTGAAATTTGTCCTGTTGAAAAATTGCTTGTGGAGCTGCCTGCAGGAGGGGCAGTACCTCGAGCTCTAAAACCTTCCTAGTGTAGCGGTCACTGCTCATATTGCTGTCAATACGTATGAGGAGAAATTACACATTGTAACCAATGTCGTCCCAAACCATCGCACTTGGCGGTTGACCGCTATGGCACGGAACAATACAGGTTTGGCAGATTGCGATCACCATGGTAGCGTCAAACACGTACGCGGCCATCGCAGTAGCACAAATTGAAGCGAGACTCGTTAGAAAACTTCGCATTTTGCCACTCAGCACACCAGTGAACATGTTCACGTGTCCATTGCTGTCCGATTCGTTGGTGATTTCTTGACAAAGGAATACGTCGCAGTGACATATGTGCCCCCAGTCCAGTCCTCAGCAGACGGCGACTCAGACATGACGACACCGTAAAGAGTGCCCCAAAGTCGAGCCACCACTGTGGACGACTCCGTTCTGTTAATTACGGCCATGCGGCCAAGATGGCGGTCATCTCACGCTCTCGTTGTGTGCTCCTGTACCTCCTCGTCTCAATGTACGAACCAGCTATTTACACTTGTCCGACACACGCATCACTGTCGTAGCAGCGTGTCGCGGTACGACAGCGAGCTGCAGTGTCACGGTACGACAAACCAGCTTCCCGGAGACAGATCAGTCTGCCCCGCTCAAAATCACTCAAATGGTGATAGTGCGCCCTTTGGCGACGACGAGGCATACTGGCACCTGCTTGCACGTTTTCTCGCCGTTTGTCGGCTCTACACCGACTAGGTGTGGCGTTACACTGACCTGACCTGACCTGACCTCACACAAAAGAGGGCGCTGCTAGGTCAGCGTGCACGCCATCTCTATGAAAATTTAAGTACTTTTTATTGATATACTATTCTATTTATACATCAATTTTTAAGAGGTCCCGACAATTTTCTTCTACGTGTTGCAATTTTCACATACAGAAGTGTATATTGAAACTACGAGAAAGTAAACCACCAGTCTGTTTTCCATAATATTAGCAATAAATACTTCCTTGACCGTTTGGGGTCTCAGAAGGATATATTTCCATAGAAAATGTTTCTTTTAATTTTACAGATTTGTTCTAGCCTGTTCGCCATCGGAACTTCGGGATGTCATTTTCAAGACTCGAAGCACTGCTTGAGACTCGTGAGCTCATTAGTGTCAAATGCGTACAGTGAGTGGACTACGATTTTTTGGCCGGACGGTGGGCTAAGACTCTAGGTAGACCCGATTTTAGAACCATGTGCAATACAGTATTGAAATACGCACTTAAATTTTGTCAATTCATACATTTTGTTTTTTATTTTGCATCCGAATATAAAAATAAAATATTTTATCAGAAATACTTAGAAACATCCTCTGCGCTTCGACCCGCTTGAAACAAAACCTTCTAGACGTCGTAGAAGACGAAACATCTTCCAAAAAACTGCTGTGCTGTAACTGAGCCTTATTAGTAAAATTCCATAAATATTTTATTTAATTAAGGAGTAGACGGCAGTAATTGTTTTGCACGTGAAATTACCCATCCTTTATTAACACCATTTTGTACGTTTTTGACATCTTCCACGGATGTATTCAGCTGTCTGTGGGACGATAACTCGATTGATTGATTATTAGTGATTCCAATCGCGTCAATTGATAGAGGACTATCTGGGTTTTCCCAATCAGGTATCTCCTATCAGAGGGGTACAGCACCAGTAATAAATGTTAGTGTAGGTGTGTAAGTAGGCGGGTGTTAAGCAAGGCGGGAGGATAAGACAAGGAAAAGCAAAGAATGTTCGCACGCGGTACGAGGCCCGTTTGTTAGGGTACTGCTCCGGCATTCGCTTGGTGTTGATCGGAGAAACCATGGAAAACTACCGATCAGAGCAGTCGGCCGCCAGAATTTTCATGTAGATAGTGACTGAATTCAACCTATCTGACTACCTAGGATCCAAAATTGTGCCACCGCCAGGATTGAAACCCTGGGAACTCTCAATCAGAGGCACTACAGTGACCAGCTGATGCCCTAAGCCACCTCATCAAGTCCGATAACTCGAGGAAGAAAGTTCAATACGTGGATGTAACTTAGTGTACATAAATTGTTACTAGGCGATTCAGCTCCCCTTAGAATTACCTCGTACTCTCGTACTTTGTCCAATTTTAATTTGGATAAATTTTGTATGTTCTGATAATCATGTACGTGTGTTCTCTGTCTGTACGCCCGCAGCCCATCGGTGAGGTAAAAATATTCCATTTGGTGTGTTTGCTTTAAATGTCATGTTCGACCTATCCGCTTAAGTTTAATTTGCAGTAAATTCTGGAGATTTGGTTGCTTATCATTATTTTGTATGTTTTGGGTCGATGCACGCGCTGTAGTCTGAGTGTAGGATGGTATCCCGGGGACACATTACGTCAATCACTGTTATGTTAAGCTTTCAGCTCGGGTTAAATATCTCTCACGTTCTCCCGTGATTGAGAGCAGAAAATAATTCGTTTCTGTATATGTTTTCCCTAACGTTAGTTCGCAGTATACTCCAGTTATTTATTTAACAAAAAATTAAAATTATTTCATATTATGCCTGAATCTTCCACGTGAGCTCTCTTTCTGTCTGAAGGGGAAGCAGCAGGTAGGGTAGCTAACCTGAGTCCGTCCGCTTTAAATTTCCTCGTTTCTCCTGTGTTAAAGTTTATCTTATGATCCAGTTTTTCCACAACAATTTAATTTTAATATTATAGAAAGTAGTTCTACAAGGTACCTAACAATTATTATGTCTTAATCGTCTCCCATTTTTAAAGAGAAAGTGTCTAAAAATATGTTAAACTCTTTGCTTATTTCCGAAGATGTGTAATATTTCATAAATCATTAAATAAGCCGTACTCTTTTTTAAAAACTTACTTATGCAACAGCAAAGAATGCATTTTTCGTAGGACCCAACATTCGAGGTTAAGTGAGGTATTAAATCGCCCTAGTTTGGCAGGAAGAGCTTCGTTCCGATAGCCATAAGCGATACAAAGATTAACAAAAAAAATTCACATTTATGCAATGTACATTTTGTCAAACACTTGATAAAGTGAATAATGGTGATGATCAGAACAGTTAAGCCTTAGGGACGTACGTGACGTATTGTTAAGAGTTTTTTAAAATATTAATTTTCAATAAGATCAGCAGCTGGTTGCTGAATTACATTATTTTGTTGACATGTTTAGCTTATTATTCATATTCTTTACGAACGTAAGAATTAAATAACTAAGAAAAAAGATTATAATGTATAATACAAAAGGAAAATTTTATATATATATTACATACACACACTGATTATTACTATTAGTTCTATATACAATTAAGGGGATTCTTCTTGTGGACGGGAGGTGTGGCTTCCCTCATGGCAGCTGATTTGTATCAAGTCTTTTATTATAGGGGGGAATAGGTCTTTGGGAAATTTAGATTTAATTCTAGGATTTATTGGACCATATACATTGAGATTGAATATTTTTGTGCTTGGGCATTGGCTTACGTTGCTTAAACATTTTTCGGAGGGATTAGATATGAATTGTGAGACCAGAGGTATTTTGAATTCACGATGTATATGCTGTTTTGAGATGTACCAAGGAGTTTTGATTGCCAGTAAAACATTTGTTCTGGATTGTTTGTAGCTTTTAAATAATGATTTGGAGGATCTTCCCCAAATTGAACATGTACATGATATTGAGGGTCTTATAATTGAAGATGTCTTAGATTGACATGGCAGTTTCTGTTTTCAAATGAGACTTTTTGTTAATGAGCGGATAGTTTGCCAATTTTTTGTTTTCTAGATTTTTCTTTTTTCATTATATATTCTTTCCTGATTAATTTTGTCAAAATGTAAGCCAAGATATTTAATCGCTTTTTTGTAAGTGCAGTGTATTGAAGTATCTAGAATATTTAGTGGTGATAAGATACGTTTTTTTCTATAGTGAAAGACTTTTCTGTTTTAGATGCGTTTGGTGCTATTCTTCATTTCTGCGAACCGGTTTTTTTAATATCTTCTTGTAGTAGTTTTGCTCTTTCTTCGCAGTTACGGAGGAGATAAACAAGGCGGTGTCGTCAGCAAAGACGGCCATTTGCAATTTAATTGACAGGGGGAAAATCTGCTGTGTATGTGAGATAAGGAGAGAGCGATGATCCTTGCGGTACTCCTGCAGATATGTTTTCTTGTTGGAAGCTTATTTATCCATGTTGTAAATGTTCGACCTAGGATAAAGCTTGAATTATTTTATAGAGAAATTAAGGTGCACCCAATATCTTTAGCTTGTAGTGTAAGCCTGCGTGCCAGACTCAGTCGAAGGCTTGTGAAACATTTAAAAAAACTACAGATGATATATTGATAAATATTTTTCTTTGAATCCGAATTATATGTTAGGATCTGCGTTAATTTTGCTAAGATATTTTTTTAAATTTAGTTAAGAGTTTTCCAAAAATGTTGCTGATCGAAGGAATTAGACTGAAGGGTATGTAATTTGAGATTAGTTTATGGCCCTTTCCTGGTTTGAAGAATTATTTCGACATGCTTCCATTGCTATGGGAAATAGCTTAGCTTTAAACGTGTGTTAAAAATAGCTGTTAGAATACTAATAGTTTGATTCGGGAATTCTTTTATAATAACGTTTCGTATTTGGTTATGACCTGATGATTTCTTAGGTCGAAAGCATTTTATTACCTTCCTTCGGTGCAATCAATTTTGTTGATAATACTGCTGTGATAAACATCTTTGTAGATTTCGTTTTGGACTGTACCTGAGAATTCCGTATATCTGTGAATTTGTTAGGAAATTCGATGATAAATGTCATTTTTGCATAATACAATGTTTTGTATTTCATTAAGCAAGAGACAAAAACTACTTTCATTAGATGTTGAAACTATTTTTAGAAACTCTTAATGTCAAACATCTCATACCTATAGGAAACCTTTGGATACTTTAATATTTTTTTCTTATTACTGTTCTGATATCTTGACTTAACGTAACCAAACAGTAATGAAATGTCAGTTTATGGTCTACTTCCGATTAGAATTCAGGAACAATCCAAACAAATGAATTGGAGCTAAAGATGGTGCATGAGTACATCTTTTGATGCCCTGTGATGAGTACAATCATTCTAAGAATAATGTTTCTTCTTTTAAGTTATATGATTTCCTTCTTTTAAGAAGGTGGTTTTACAAAGATTATTGAACGACACATGATCGATATCACAAACAGTTGAACTTTGTAAACCGAGGTAATGGTCAATGTTTATAACCAACCTGTTATTTGCTGAATGTCAGTATTATGTCGTAAATACGCGTTACAAGTAAATTTATATCAAAAATGACTTACATAAATGTTGCAACCCACATTCACGCAATATTCATATTCACAATTACAACTCACGACTTATGACGTGTCAGTAACAATATCTCACTACAATAAATACTCATACTCGTGTAAGTTACTTAACAACACATTATCAGATGACATTAAACATTTAAGTGGTGGAGCTAAAGAATAGCACAGACTCGCGGTCAGAGGCTCTGCTGTGACATCGGTTGATGCCCTCCCTCCCTCAAATTATTTTCTCTGCCGTTTGACAACATAAATGAAATGAAATGAAGTGTTGGATGGCTCACCTGTCTGTAGGCCGGCAGCACGTCGGGGAGGAGGCGCGTTCGGCCGACGCCCGCGCCCGCGCAAACGCCCACGCCCAGCGCCGCCGCCGTCGTCAGGCTGTTGCCGTTGGGGGCCGCCGTGCTGCGCGTCGCCGAGCCCACTGCGAAGAAGCACACGCACAGCGCGCGCACTGCGTCCGTCAGCCGCGGCCCGCCCCGCACCCGCGCACGCGGCGCCCCGCCCTGCCGCCTCCTCACCCCACCCCACCACAGCCCAGCCTCAACAACCTTCCCCAGCACCCCTGCTTCCTAACGACTTTCCCGCAAAGGCCCCCGCCGGCCTCCTCAACCTCGCACCCCACCAGCCCACAGCCTCAACACCTTCCCCACCCACCCCTGCCCTACCGCCTTCTCCCCAAAGGCCCGCCCCCGGCCTCCTCCCCTCCGCCAACGGGCTACCCCAGTCCAGCCCTCAACACCTCTCCCACCACCCTGCTCCTACCGCTTCTCCCCCAAAGGCCGCCCGCCAGCCTCCTCTCCGCCATCTCCACCAGCCCCAGCCTCAAACCTCCCCCACCACCCCTGCCTCCTACCGCTTCTCCCCAAGGCCCCGCCCCCAGCCTCCTCCTCCTCCGCATCCCACCCAGTTCAGCCTCAACACCTCCCCCACCACCCCTGCCTCTACCGCTTCTCCCAAAGGCCCGCCCCAGCCTTCCCTCCGCCACCCACCCAGTCCAGCCTCAACACTCCCCCACCACCTGCCTCCCTACCGCTTCTCCCCAAAGGCCCCGCCCCGGCCTCCTCCCTCCGCCACCCCACCCTAGCCTCAGCTCAACACCTCCCCCAGCACCCTGCCTCCTACCGCCCTTTTCTTCCCCAAAAGGCCCGCCCCGGCTCCTCCCTCCGCCATCCACCCAGTCCCCCAGCCCAACACCTCCCACACGCCCCTGCTGCTACCCAGGCTTCCTCCCAAAAGGCCCCGCCCCCAGCCTCCTCTCCTCCGCCACCCCACCAGTCCCAGCCTCAACCACCTCCCCATCCACCCTGCCTCCTACCGCTTCTCCCCCAAAGGCCCCGCCCCCCCGGCCCTCCTCCTCCGCACCCCCCCGCCCGCAGCCTCAACACCTCCCACCACCCTGCCTCCTAACACGTTCTCCCCAAAGGCCCCGCCCCCGGCTCCTCCCTCCGCCAATTCCCACCCAGTCCGCAGCCTCAACACTCCCCACACCACCCTGGCCTCCTACCGCTTTCTCCCCAAGGCCCGCCCCCGGCCTCCTCCCCTCCGCCACCCCACCCAGCCCCAGCCTCAACACCTCCCCCACCACCTGCCTCCTACCGCTTTCCCCAAAGGCCCCCGCCCCCGGCTCCTCCTCCGCCATCCCACCCAGTCCCAGCCTCACACCTCCCCACAACCCCCTGCCTCCTACCGCTTCTCGCCCCAAAGGCCGCCGGCCTCTTCCCTCCCCACCCACCCAGTCCAGCCTCAACACTCCCGCCACACACCCCCTGCCTCCTACGCTTCCTCCCAAAGGCCCCGCCCCGCCTCTTCCCTCCCGCCATCCCACCATCCCAGCCTCAACAACCTCCACCAACGCCTGCCTCCTACGCGCTTCTCCCTCCCCAAAGGCCCCGCCCCGGCCTCTTCCCCCCCCACCCCACCCCCCCAGCCTTAACAACCTCCCCACCACCCCTGCCTCCTAACGCCTTCTCCAAAGGCCCCGCCCCCGGCCTCTTCCCCTCCCCCCCACCCAGGCCCCAGCCTTAACACTCCCCCACCACCCGCTGCCTCCTACCGCTTCCCCTAAAGGCCCCGCCCCGGCCTCCTCCCCTCCGCCACCCCACCCAGCCCCAGCCTCAACACTCCCCCACCACCTGCCTCTACCGCTTCTTCCCCAAAGAGGCCCTGCCCGGCCTCTTCCCCTCCACCCCCACCCGGTCCCAGGCCTCAACACTCCGCCACCACCCCTGCCTCCTACCGCTTCTCCCCAAAGGCCCCGGCCCCGGCCTCTTCCCTCCCCACCCCCAGCGCCCAGCCTCAAAACACCTCCTCCACCACTCCCTGCCTCCTACCGCTTCTCCCAAAGGCCCCGCCCCGGCCTCCTCCCTTCGCGCCTCCCCACCGCCCAGCCCTCAACACTCCCCACCACCCTGCCTACTACCGCTTCTCCCAAAGGCCCCGCCGCCCCGCCTCTTCCCTCCCCACCCACCCAAGCCCCAAGCCCTCAACACTCCTCCACCACCCCTACCCTCCTAACCGCTTCTCCCCAAGGCCCCGCCCCCCCCCGGCCTTTTCCCCCTTTTCCCCTCCGCCGCACCCCACCAGCCCCAGCCTCACAACATCCTCCACCACACCCCTGCCCTCCTACGGCTTCTCCCCAAAGGCCCACCCGGCTCCTCCCCTCCGCAACCACGCCCGCAGCCTTCAACACCTCCCCACCCCCTGCCTCCTACGCTTTCTCCTGCCAAAGGCCCGCCCCGGCCTCTTCCCCTCCCCCACCGTGCCCACCCAGCCCAGCCTCAACACCTCCTCCACCACCCCGCCTCCTACGCTTCTCTCCCCAAGGCCCCGCCCCGGTCCTCTCCCCTCCGCCATCCCACCGCAGTCCCAGCCTCAACCACTTCCCCCACCACCCTAGCCTCCTACCGCTTTCTCCTCAAAGGCCCCGCACCCGGCCTATTCCCCTCCCCCCCCCCCCAGCCCCAGCCTCAACATCTCCTCACACCACCCCTGCCTCCTAACCGCTTCTCCCAAAGGCCGCCGCCCCGGCTCCTGCCCTCGCCACCCACCACCAGCCCAGCCTCAACACCTCCCCCCACCACACCTTGCCTCCTACGCTTCTCCCCAAAGGCCCGCCCCCGGCCTCTTCCCCTCCCTCACCCCCACAGCCCCAGCCTCAACACCTCCTCCCCACCCCTGCTCCTACGCTTCTCCAAGCCCCGCGCCCGGCCTTCCTCCCCTCCGCCACCCACCAGGCCCCAGCCTCAACACCTCCTCACCACCCCTGCCTCCTACCCGCTTCCCTCGCCAAAGGCACGCCCCGGCCTCTCCCCTCCGCCACCCACCCAGCCCCGCCTCAAACACCTCCCCCACCACCCCTGCCTCTAACCGCTTCTCCGCAAAGCCCGCCCGCCGGCCTCTTCCCCTCCCCCACCCACCCCAGCCTCAGCCCTCAACAGACCTCCCCCACGCGACCCCTGCCTCTACGCTTCTCCCCAGGCCCGGCCCCTGGCTCTTCCCTCCGCCATCCCACCCAGTCCCAGCCTCAAGCACCTCCCCACCACCCTGCCCTCCTAGCCTGCTTTCTATTTCTCCCCAAAGGCCCGCCCCCGGCCTCCTCCCCTCCCGTCATCCCAGTCCAGTCCCAGCTCAACACCTCCCCACACCCCTGCCTCTAAGCCGCTTCTCTCCCCAAAGGCCCCGCCCGGCCTCTTCCACTCCCCAGCGCCACCCAGTCGCAGCCTCACACCTCCCCACCATCGCCTGCCTCCTACCGCTTCTCCCCAAGGCCGGCCGCCCCGGCTCTTTCCCCTCCCCCACCCACCCAGGCCCCAGCCTCAAAACCTCCTCCACCACCTGCCTCGCTATCCCGCTTCTCCCCAAAGGCCCCGCCCCGGCCTCCTCCCTCCGCCATCCCACCCAGTCCCCAGCCTCAACCACCTCCGCCACCACCCCTGCCTCCGTACCGCTTCTCCCCAAAGGCTCCGGGCCCCCAGCCCTCCTCCCCTCGCGCCACCCCACCCAGTCCCAGCCCTAACACCTCCCCACACACCTGCTCCTACCAGTTCTCCCAAGGCCCCGCCCCGGCCTCCTCCCTCCGCCACCCGCACCAGCCCAGCTCAACACCCCCAACCCCTGCGCTCCTACCGCTTCTCCCCAAAGGCCGCCCCCGGCCTCCTCCCTCCGCCATCCCACCCAGTTCCCCAGCTCAACACCTCCCCACCACCCCTGCCTCTACCGACGCTCTCCCCAAAAGGCCCGGCCCCCGGCCTCCTCCCCTCCCGCACCCACCAGCCCAGCCATCACACTCCCCCCACACCCCTGCTCCTACGCTTCTTCCCAACGGCCCGCCCCCGCCCTCCTCCCCTCCGCCTCCAACCCAGTCCCCAGGCCTCAACACCTCCCCACCACCTTCCTCCTACCGCTTCTCCCCAAGGCCCCGCCCCCGGTCTTCCCCTCCCCACCCTACCCAGTCCGCAGCCTTCAAACACCTCCCACCACCCCTGCCTCCTACGCTTCTTCCCAAAGGCCCCGCACCCGCTCTTCCCCTCCCCACCCCCACCACCAGCCCCAGCCTCAACACCTCCCCCACCCAGCCCTGCCTCCTACCGCTTCTCTCAAAGGCCCGCGCCGCCCGGCTCCTCCCTCCGCCATCCCACCCAGTCCAGCCTTCACAGCACTCCCCACCACCCTGGCCCTCTACCGCTTCTCCTCGAAGGTCCCCGCTCCGGCCTCTTCCCCTCCTCCCACCCACCCCCAGCCAGCCTCACACCTACCCACCACCCCTGCCTCCTATCCCGCTTCTCCCCAAAGGCCCCGCCCGCTCCTCCCTCCGCCAATCCCACCCAGCCCCGCAGCCCTCAAACACCTCCCCAACGACCCCTGCCTCTACCGTTCTGCCTTAAAGGCCCGCACCCGGCCTTTCCCCCTCCTGCCCACCCCACCCAGCCGCCTCAAACCTCCCCACCACCCCTGCCTCCTATCCTACGCTTTTCTCTCCCCAAAGGCCCGCCCCCGGCCTCCTCCCCTCCGCCATCCCACCAGTCCCAGCCTCAAACACCTCCCCCACGACACCCTGCCTCCTACCGCTTTCTTCCTTAAAGGCCCCGCACCCGGCCTCTTCCCCTCCCACCCCACCAGCCCAGCCTCACACCTCCCACCACCCTGCCTCCTACCGCTTCTTCTCCTCAAAGGCCCGCACCCGGCCTTCTTCCCCCCACCCCACCCAGCCCCAGCCTCAACACCTCCCCCACCACCCTGCCTCCTACCGCTTCTCCGCAAAAGGCCCGGCCCCCGGCCGTCGCTCCCTCCGCCATCCACCGCAGTTCCAGTTCAACACCTCCCCCCAACCACCCCTGCTTCCTACGTTCTCCCAAAAGGCCCGCCCGGCCTCTTCCCCTCCCCCACCCACCCAGTCCCAGCCTCACACTCCCGCCACACCTG